GGTACTAAAGAGGTTTAGTATGGAAAATTCCAAGAAGGGAGAGCTACCTATCCAAAGCAATACCAAATTGAGTAAAAGACTCAATGCCCGAGTACAGATGAGGAAATAGCTGACATGAGTCGTGTACCTTATGCTTCCGTTGTTGGATCGATCATGTACGCTATGACATGTACTCGCCCTGATGTGGCCTTTGCTTTGAGCATGGTCAGTCGCTATCAGGGAAACCAGGTTAGAGCTCATTGGATAGCGGTTAAGAATATACTCAAGTATTTGCGAAGGACAAAGGACTAGGTCCTTGTGCTTTGGTGGCAATGATACTTTGAGAGTAGATGGTTACAGTGATTCCAGCTTTCAAACGGATAGAGATAACTTTCGTTCTCAATCAGGCTGGGTATTTCTACTGAATGGAGGAGCAGTTACTTGGAAAAGTTCCAAGCAATATACGGTGGCTGATTCTACTTGTGAATCAAGTATATAGCAGCAAGTGAAGAGTCGAAAGAAGCAGCTTGGTTGAGGAACTTCATCGGAGATCTCAGAGTTGTTCCAACCATCCAGGAGCCTATGGAACTGTTCTGCGATAATGAAGGAGCGGTTGCCTTAACAAAGGAACCCAGAAATCATGGTAAAACCAGACATATCGACAGAAAGTACCATTTCATAAGACATAGAGTGGAAGAAGGCCATCTTGTTGTAAAGAGGGTATCATCTGAGGACAACCTAGCAGACCCCCTCACAAAGGGTCTGAGTAGGGTTAAGCATATTCAGCATGCTCAGAGCATTGGACTGAGATATGATATTAGTTTTTGTAGTTAGATTAGTTTTCTGAAACTTGTAACAAAGTAAATGTAATTGACTTTTGGTGATTAAATAATAAAGTATTATTTATGAGTTTGTTTACTGCCTTTTGTCAATTGTTTATTATTGTGTTTCATATTTTGCATGTTTTACTTCCCGAATAATATGATTATTCAAACTCCACAGTCGCTCGTACTTTTGGAATTAAGTAGCGAATTAAGACTGTCATGAATTGGATTGCAGATTGTCTAAGGATAGACATAGCAATAGAATTGCTGCAATGATTCATGAGTGCTCAGAAATTGAGATTTGAGTATTGGATAAACCCTCGCTCAGAGTATTACTTCATGGAATTCATCACGAGTAATATTGAGACGATAATATCTTATAATCTTGAAACGGAGATATATGAGTTGTAATTTGCAAGTCGGTTATACATTGGTGATACGAAAACGCATCAGTAACTTGGTGTTATAAAACGTATTGTCATGTATAATTTGATGAGTAAAAGATACAAGCATATGAGTCAACGTTTATTCGTTCCGTTTGCCCTAACGGGAAAAGCGATATCTGTGGGGCCCTCGATGATTTGGTGTTGACTTATGTGTTGGGCCCAGCCAGGACTAAATTGATGTTTTCAATTAGAAGTCCTACATCATCACAAATCAGAAATCGGAAAACATAGATTCTGGACAAAGAGATTGATTACATTCCATGTCTTATGTCTAGGGATATCTTGCAGAACGAAAGATTATATGATCACTTATCTTAGGACACGTAACTGACTGGGTCAGAGTTCAACAGCAGCTTTTGGAAGCTACAATTTGTTGGTCAAATTTAGAAGTCATACTAGCAGTTATAGTTACAGAGTTATCCGAGTGGAAGACTGTTGGATTAGGTGTCTAAGCCCATAACTATAATTGGTATGTACTTGAATTGATAGCATCACAGTCATTTTGGGTTGCCCTCAAACCTAGCAACTGGACAAGGAAATTATGAAAGGAAAGATATTGATTTATTACAAGATTAATAAATTAATATAAATGATTTATTAATATGTTAAAAGGTTAATATATTAATTAGAAATCATAATGTTTAATTAATAGTTAGCCAGAAATTAATTAGAATTGATTTTGGGATTAATTGTATTAATTATAAAGTGCAGGGACTAGTTTGCAATTATCAAATAGTTGAGTGGAAGGTTCCAGAACCTCCTTGGAAGGGGGTGGACGAAATCTATAGGAGAAACCCTAATGATTTCGTCCAAAGGGGCTTGGATAAGGCCTTTGGATAAGCTTAGGCCCCAAGCAAAGGAACATTAGGGTTTTCCCTAAACCTTAGATCCATCAGCTATATAAAGAGCCTCCTAGCTCCCAAAATTGGCACTCATTCTCTTGAAGAAACCCTAGGGCCGAAATTGCATACCCTAACATCTCTCCTAATAAGTTTCCTTCTTGCTAGTTCTTGGGTGTGACTCCATTAGAGGCATTGCATTTGTGGTGCTAAGCTTCCAAGAAGATCAATATCAAAAGGATTACCAATTGTTTGCTATAACAATTGAAAGGTATGTAACTCTAAACCCTAATTGATTAATTTCGAAAATAGCCTCCTCCCTTAGGGTTCTTGTTTTGCAATTCAAAGTTATAAGTTCAATAGTTAAAACATAGATCCAAAGTAGGTTGAATGTGAACTTAGGAATTGTTTTCTAGTTTATTTGTTTTCCCAAAACCCATCAGCATGTACCTTGACTTCATCGTATACCTTTAAACAGATGTTTCCATGTAGTGACTCTTGTAAAATGATGGATATGGCCTAAAACCAAGCATTTCAAAGATTCAATTGAAAGATGATGTGAAATGTAAGAAAGATAAAGTGTTTAGGGAACCATATGACTCGGATACATATGAGGGTTATCTGTAGAATTAGTGTAGTATTGCAACATATTGGCCTCAAGAATCTTTGAAACCTCATGAGCCAGCAACAAGTTCATACTTTGCACATCTTCTTTCATGGATGATAGTGGTGGTTCTTTCTCACTCTCCACTACTGCCCGATGACGGCAGCTACCACCACCGCCATCTCCACTCTTATCATCTGCCATCGTCCTCCCTTGAATCTCAGGTTTCCCGATTCTGCTACCCTTGCCATCAACTTCGGCCAATTCAGACCTAATGACACCCTCAATTGACGTAAAAAAAGAAATCTCATGGCACGATTCCATTGTTTCCTCGCGGAAGAGGTACATTTTCGTCTCTCTTCTCCCGTTTTGATTTACGAAATCTGCTACCACCATCAGGTTGTGGTGGAGGACGACGGGAACCATAACGGGGATATGGCGGCGTCATGTGGAGATGATCGGGAAATTGGAGCTCCTCTAGGATGTAATCACTAAGGGCGACACCGGTATTTTTTTTAGGCAGCGATGTAGGCGGTTTGAATCCTGATTGCGGCCGCTTCCTCCCTTGACTTCCGGACATACCGACTAGTGATGGTTGTCGTTGTTGTTGTGTCGGCGGTTATTGGTGACTCAACCTCCATCTCAATTAGAATCACAGGCCTATCGAGAGCCAGGGTTGCAAATCTGGTTTTGTTTCAGGCGAATTTGGTGTTCGGTTTGTTGAATTTAGGGAAGAACGAGGATAGTAGGAAGATGTTATCAAGGAAGCAACGAGAGAGAACAAAGGTTTTCACCACCGACATAGTTTTAACAGGAAAAATCCACGTGGATGACATATGGGTGCCACGTGGACCATTTCAGTTGACCAAATGTCACATGGCATATCAAAACTGATGATTAGGAAGGGGTTCACCGGGTGACCTCTTCATATTTTTTATAATGACATTTTAAAACGGTAAAACACAATTACGTACCCCTAAAAGGCAAAAAAAAAATCACAATGGACTATTTAAACCAATATACTAAAGTTTGTTGTGTTACAGTGACAATAACCCTTAGAAATATACAAGTAAAAAAATCGATGGAACTTATAAAAAGACAAGTAAAAATTGATGAAACTTGCAAAAAAAAAAAAAAGTCAAAATAGTTATATTTTAGAAGAATCTTGTGATCTAATTTAAATAAATATATTAGCTCCAAAAAAATTACTCAAAAATATGTTTAGCTATTATTTAACGTGACTTTTATTTTATATGAAAATAATGAAATTATAAAATAAAAATAATTTAAAATGTGTGTTATGGTGAATTAAGTGTTATTGGTACTTTATTGTGGTAGAACAGGTATTAAATGAGGACTTATATGATCTAATACTTTGAACTCAGACAAGACGAAATGTCAAGGTCAAGAGGGTCAAGAGACATAGCTTTTGGCAGTGGAAAACAAGCTCGTAAAAAAAGAGCAAAGTTGAAAAAATACACAAGTTTGGGTATGTTTGAGAACAACTCAAATCGTCTAACAGCCTACATTGTCTTGACTGCTTGGAGCAAGCTATTTGAATGGGAAGCTTTGACAAGAAATTTTAAGTGCAAAACTTCATAATTTTTGTGGATTTTATCTAGATTTCGGATAGATGATTATGTATTAATATTTTGTTAATTTGGAACACTTTTACAAATGTAACAACCCATATACTCTTAAGAACGTTGCTTTCTATTTTGTGTCTGAAACAATAATGTTCCTCGGGATGGATGAAATGGAGGCGATTTGCCTTCGACTAACCTTCGATTTACCACCATGACCAATACCAAAAAATATGGAGCCTTGGCATGTTGAAGGACAGAAGGACCCATTGACCCTTCTACTTCTTCTCCCTCTCTCCCTCTATGTGTTACTTATGAGCATTTAGATTTTAGGGTTAATTTATTCTTTCCTTTTTAATGTTTTGGGCTTCTAAATATTGGTTTATTATATGGTCTTAGATGGATTAATTGTCTTAATTTTTTTATTTAACAAAAAAAAATACACCTTGATATTTTACAATGAACAAACATAAATAAAACTCTTCACATAACTATCTAACAAACAGGTTACCTTTTTATCTCATTAAGTTATTAGTTTTAATAAATAGGTTAGAATCATGTTTCATGTAACACAACTTCATTATATGAGCTTACTTGGACTAATTGTGTTTATTTTAATGAAATGTTATTTTAATTACTCGTAGTGATCAAGTTTTTGTGAAAGTACATTTAATAAATTTAAATTATGAATATATCATTATTTTTTGTATTTTAGCCTGCAGAGGTAAATCAAAAGTATTATTTTATTAGATGTACAACTCTTTATACACGATGTACAAATTAAAAACCTTGTACTTAATTTCGCTCATAAATGAAAATTTTGTCTGCACAACTTTAATGCTAACATTTAATGATGTTAACTTCCTTCCTTCTTAAGCATGATGATCCGCACACGTCATGCCTAATATCCATATCTATATTATTTTAGAATTTTATGGTCAAACTTTGACTTTTAGAATGACAAATAAACCCTTCCTTTAAGCAAAAGAAAATAGAAAACAAAAACTAAAATTACAAATTTTGCTTTAGCGGAGTAGTTTGGTTATACAATATACAGACTAAATATTCGAAGACGTAATAATAGGATTAAACGAGGACTAATACCATTTATAGCTGGAAAGCTAATTGGTAGTTTATTAACTAATATGGTTTGTAAAAACTAAAAATACCTTATATATTTAGATTGCAACGTAAAACTAAATAAATGGACATTTATATATATAACTAAAACATAGATATAATTAAAGACATTTAGAACATTTTTGAAAAAACTCCATAAATTATCTGAAAATAGTCTATCAACAGCAGCTTATATGCTAGTTGGTAAGCTAAAATAAATTACTTTTTTATGATTTTACCAAACAATAAATTCTAATAAACTAATTTATTTTTGCCAAATAGAGCCAACAGGCATAAAAACCTATTAATTTATGTGTGAGAGTATTTAAATATATGAATAAGTCCAATCAAAATTTTGAATAGTCCGTTTTTAGACACATGTTGATTACTAATTTTATAGTTTTGAAATATTCAGATTATTTAAAATCTGAATTAAATATTTTAAGTTTAATACTTACTTGGAAATGATTAACTAAAGCATAATCTAAACCAAAAATAACAATGTATTTTGGGCATGTGATATCTAATGGTCTAGGCTCATCTGGGCATATTAAGGTGTTGGGCCTATATAAAGTATTGGGCTTATTTCAATATTGGGAAAATCTAAGAGGCTTTGAGCCTTAATTATAAGACCTTAGTATCATATATATTGATCATTGGATTAGAATTGTCATTAAATATTTTTCTTAAGGAGGCTAAATGTGAAAATATTTTCAACTTGGGTGAGTTCAGAACAAACCCTAAGTTAAGGGACTAAGTATGAACATTGAGGAAACTTATGAAGTCTTCAACCCTAAAGCTTGTTCCCCAATCATTTCATAAATGTATTTGAGAGTTTGATCAACGAAAGAATCACGGATTTAAAATTAGCTTTACTGAAACTCAGTGTTACAATTCTACAAAGTAAAAGATAGCCAAAATATGCATGTTCTGATGCTAAAAATATTATCAACTTACCCTTTTGTATCCACTTTGATTTTCCAATTATGAGATGTTCGTGGCCCTGTCACAATGCCATCATAATATTTGGAATCAAGCTTTTGTTTGTTCCAATCTTTGATGAATTCTGCAAATAGTTTACGTGCAGATTCTGAAGAAAGATCTGAGAAGAACATGTCTTTCTCATCTTTGAGCCATGTGGCAAATTCATTGTTCTTGGAGAAGTAATCAGCGTCTGAAAGCTCCTTGAAATTTGATATCTGAAAACATTCAGTCAAAAGCTTCTTCATATACTTGAAGTTCAATAACTTGCTGCTAAAAACTTTTGAATTAAGACAATTGAACAGGACTCACCACACGACGTTCATGCTTGTGGTGTTTACTTTTGTGTTTGTGCTTCCCTTCTGAATAAAAGTTAGAACAATTGAGAAACAGTAATCAGCTTGTTGTTCAAATCAAAGGGATTATTGGCAGGATACAAGTCCTTACAACTGGATTCTTAGTTCCAAATACCAATTGCACAAGAACAAAGGTATCAGATTCATTAGAAAAGCTAAAAATTGGGTATCGTATCTTTGTGAATGGAAAACAGAATGCGCAGACAGACAGACGAAAACCCCTAATCGCACTAAGTAGCTTGATTCTGTAACTAATCGCATCGAGAGTGTTTATACTAAGACGATACTTGATAACAAATTAAACCCTAGCTTTCCTCCATTACAGAAACAAATCAACAATTGAACTAAAATGGGATGTAAGCTCATGATGTAGCGAAGCGTACCTTTAGTACTTGAAGATTTATGCGATTTGTGCTTCCTATGGGAGTCTCTCTCTTTCTTATCACTCTTTGTTTCTGAACTTCTACGCCTTTTGTTCTTCCCTTCATCTACAAAACACGAGTATCCGCATCAATTCGTATTGAAAACTGTATAAACACAGAAATATGATAACGAAGATAATGAACAAGAACCTTCCGACGAGAACTCAGCCGGAGACCTCTTCTTTTTCAATTTCCGATCGGTACCCATGTTGGACTCGTCGTCCAAAATCGAACATTTTTAAAGCGTTCATTGTTCATATACATCTAAACATTACTGTGATATTGCCGACTATGGCCCCTTATCTTTCGAACTTGTCAAATTGCACCCATTAAAAGTTCGAATATTTATGTAAAATGGAATTCTTAAGTGGGTTATGTTTTGGATCAAGTGAGATTTCCATTTAATTAAAAATAAACTAAATAAAGATTCATCGTAAAAACTTGTAAATGGAGAACTTGATTCCAAAAAAAACTTAAGTTGTAAAACCAACCCAACATTTGATTACTATCGATACTGACCATTCCAAAATAAAAGGATAAACAATGTTTAAGGTGGGTTCATTAAAATTAGCAGCTATTAGCTCAAAGTTTAGCTTTTATTTGTGTACAAAAGTAACTATAATCTTTTAAACATATAAAATTATATAAAAAGACATTTTATAAAATATAGTAAAATACAAGTGTATTTTTCTTAGTAATTTTGTGATAATAATGAGGTTTTTTGTTAAACCCCACATGCCACCGAACAAATTTTTTTTTTTGTTTTTTTTGAGCTTTTTATAAAAGCTAAAAAGTAAAACGTCACAAAAGGTTCATGTGGAGCACACCCTTAATGTCGATTTTGTAGATATGCAAAAAATTTCAAGGACCTTTTAGTCGGTTTAACCATATAAAAATCGAAAGAAGTTATAAGTAACTATTTGCTAAACTAAAATTTATATGTTAATAATGTAAGACATGGCTTTTGTTTTGAGTTTAGTGATGCAAAACCAAATAGATCCTTTCACCAACACATAAGTTCTTCAAGATAGTCAACAAGTACATATCGGTTCTAGTCAAAGTCAAACACAACTTAATACATTAGATTTCTGACACCTGGAAATCTTTTAACTTGAAGAAAATTTAAAATCCCAATACAAATACAAATAACTATTCCACCTCTTGAAGATAGTCTTCAATTTGAGCTGCAGTTAAAACTCTACAAAAAATAAAAATACAAAATTATTACAAGCTAACTTAACAAGATGTTAATAGTCAGATTCATTATAATGTAAATTATAAAATTACCTGAATGTTTTGTCTGCCTCAATCACACCAATCTCAATATTTTTTCCCGAAATTTGTCCTTCAAATCTGAAATACATATTTAAGGACAAAACTTAGGTGTTGTTTGTTTTTTTACTTAAGGGATACAGAGCTTAATGCATACAGATATATAAGGTTGTTTTTTTTACATAATACAAAAAGAATAACTTAATGGATTAAATGAAAGATTTGGCCACTTTATGTATTAAGACCCTCCCT